TGGACGTCCTGTCGTCCACGTCGCAAAATGCATAGCAGGAATGGGACGCGGCGCACACCCCGCGCCCGCCCATCCAATCCGTCCCATTCTAATATGCAAAAGACAATACACAGTTTTTGTTCTTCTTGTCAACATGGTCGTGCTGTCGTCACTTCGCAAAATGCGTGGCAGAAATGGGACGCGGCGCACACCCCGCGCGAAGGGGTGACATGTCGCTCTCGCCTCGGCGCCGCGCACCAACGTTTTTCCACTCAGCATGGACGTCCTGTCGTCCACGTCGCAAAATGTTTGGCAGGAGTGGGATGCGGCGCACACCCCGCGCCCGCCCATCCAAACCCCCCTTTATAAAATTATCCTGGCGAAGGACCCAAACATATGCAATTGTGAGTATCGCAATTGTGAGTATCTTCTTCGGTGGCGCTCCCTATGGGGCCACGAACCGCATGAGCGGCGTGCCGAAATGTGGCGGGGCACACAACGCAAAGGAATACGATAGATCTGATTACGAGAGAAAGAACGCGGGTGAGTCAGAGCGCGAGGGGATCTGAGTATGAACGGGTCTGCGCGCGAGTGAATATATTTGCATGAGTGCGATCATGGAACCGCCTAGTGTAAGTGTCGAGCATGCCTGTCCGAACACACGTGACACTGGGCGTGGCCGCCGCAGGCAGCTTCCGCGGGAACCCCGACGGCAGCGTCCGCACGTCGCGACGCCCATGTCGGCACGCCTCTTGCGAGGATCGCGCCCGCTTTCGGCTCTTCTTTTCCTTCCTCTTTGCCCGCGCACTCCAAAATCCAAGGCTGCGGGCGCAGCGCAGCGCGGAGTCCCCGCGACGCGCGCTGGTCGCCCCGGGCGGGGTCCCAGCGACGCGCGCGGGTCGTCCGCTGCGCGAAGCAGAGAGAGCTGACTAGCTAACTGGCTGGCTGATAGCGGGCAAGTCTCTGACCGCTGGGCAGAGCGACGACGGGCGAACGAGGCGCCGGGCCCCCCGCGGCACGGAGTTCCCGCGACGCGCGCTGGTCGCCCCGAGAGGGTCCCAGCGACGCGCGCGGGTCGTCCGCGGCGCGAGGCCAAACAATTAGTCGGGCAGTCGAGAGAAGGCGCGGCTCGGGGGAGACGCTCCTTAGGTCAGGCCTCGCGGATGAACTCGGTGAAGCCGAGCTCCCTGGCGAGGGCCGTCGCTTCCCTCCTGCACCGCTTCGTGCGCGCCGCAAACTGCTCCAGCTGCTTCCGCAAGCCCTGCGGCGGCCCTGCCAGGAAGAACTCGATGCGCGGCGCCCGCATGAGCAGGAGGTCCTCGTGGCGCGTGGCGCGCGAGAGCAGCGCGTAGAGCTCCAGCCACCAGTCGTCGTCCTCCTTCTTGCCGTTCCCTACCTCGTGGCGGCCGCAATCCAGGATCACGCCCGGGCGACGTCGACCGAGGGAGCAGCGCGCCGGGCAGCCGACGGCCCAGGGCGAGAGTCCACAGGACCGAGAGATGGTCTGGCCGCGGACTGCTCGCGCCCCGGAGGTCTGGCCGCCCCCGGAGCGCCGTTCCCCCGCCCCGTCGCCTTCGCGCATGGTGCGCCCCTGGCACGCCACCGTGGTGATGACCCTGCCGTGCGAGAAATGCGGGGGGTGTGCCGAAATGGGTGGGGGTGACGCATGCGGGCGGCGGCACTGAGGCCTTCGGTGGAGCTCCCTATGGAGCCACGAAACGTGTGAGGGGTGTGCCGAAATGGGTGTGGGGGACGCATGCGGCCGCGGGCACTGGGGCCTTCGGTGGAGCTCCCTATGGAGCCACAAAACGTGTGAGGGGTGTGCCGAAATGGGTGTGGGGGACGCCTGCGGCCGCGGGCACTGGGGCCTTCGGTGGAGCTCCCTATGGAGCCACGAAACGTGTGAGGGGTGTGCCGAAATGGGTGTGGGGGACGCATGCGGCCGCGGGCACTGGGGCCTTCGGTGGAGCTCCCTATGGAGCCACAAACGTGTGAGGGGTGTGCGTCTGAGGGGTGTGCCGAAATGGGTGTGGGGGACGCATGCGGCCGCGGGCACTGGGGCCTTCGGTGGAGCTCCCTATGGAGCCACGAAACGTGTGAGGGGTGTGCCGAAATGGGTGTGGGTGACGCATGCGGCCGCGGGCAATGGGGCCTTCGGTGGAGCTCCCTATGGAGCCAGGAGCTCCCTATGGAGCCACGAAGCGGGTGAGGGGTGTGCCGAAATGGGTGTGGGTGACGCATGCGGGCGCGGGCACTGGGGCCTTCGGTGGAGCTCCCTATGGAGCCACGAAACGTGTGAGGGGTGTGCCGAAATGGGTGTGGGTGACGCATGCGGCCGCGGGCACTGGGGCCTTCGTTGGAGCTCCCTATGGAGCCACGAAACGTGTGAGGGGTGTGCCGAAATGGGTGTGGGTGACGCATGCGGCCGCGGCCACGGGGGCCTTCGGTGGAGCTCCCTATGGAGCCACGAAACGTGTGAAGGGTGTGCCGAAATGAGTGTGGGGGACGCATGCAGCCGCGGGCACTGGGGCCTTCGGTGGAGCTCCCTATGGAGCCACGAAACGTGTGAGGGGTGTG